AGGATGGCAAGGAGTCAGAAAAAGATAGAGAAGAAGGTGAGGACTCAAATGAAGATGCGCAGGGTTCAGACGAAGAGGATGGCAAGGAGTCAGAGAAAGATGAAAAGGAGGAAGTTGGACAGGACACCGAAGATGAAAGTGCGAAGGATTCAGAAAGGGAGGATATGGAGGAAGATGTGCATGGTTCAGAGGAGGAGGATGGTAAGGAGTCAGGCGAAGATGAGAACAATGAAGGTGCACAGGACTCCGAAGAGGAAGGTGAGAAGGAAGAGGATGCAGAGGAGTCACAAGAAGAGAGAGAAGATGCAAAGCAATCAGATGAAGATGTGAAGGGTTCAGAAGAGGAGGATGGCAAGGAGTCAGACAAAGATGATGATAGCAAAGAAGTAGCGCAGGAGTCTGAAGGGGAAGAGGAGAAGGAAGCAGAAGGAGAGGATGCAAAGGAGTCAGAAGAGAGAGAGGATGCAAAGGAATCAGAAAAGGAGGATGCGCAGAAAAAAGACGAGGAATCAGGTGAGAAAACAGAAGACGATACTGAAGACGATGAGAAAGAAGATGCGAAAGGTTCAGGAGAAGAGGATGGCAAGGAGTCAGAAAAAGATAGAGAAGAAGGTGAGGACTCAGATGAAGATGCGCAGGGTTCAGACGAAGAGGATGGCAAGGAGCCAGAGAAAGATGAAAAGGAGGAAGTTGGACAGGACACCGAAGATGAAAGCGCGAAGGATTCAGAAAGGGAGGATATGGAGGAAGATGTGCATGGTTCAGAGGAGGAGGATGGCAAGGAGTCAGGCGAAGATGAGAACAATGAAGGTGCACAGGACTCCGAAGAGGAAGGGGAGAAGGAAGCAGAAGGAGAGGATGCAGAGTCACAAGAAGAGAGAGAAGATGCAAAGGAATCAGAAAAGGAAGGTGGATCAAGAACAGAAAAGGAAGGCGATGACAGTAGTGAAGGTTCAGAAAAGGAAGATGTGCACATGAAGGAATCCGAAGAGGATAGTGAGGGGGAACAAGACGGAAAGGAGTCCAAGGAGAGAGATGATGCGCAGAGCTCTCAAAGTGGATCCACGACGTCAAAAGAATCTTCTTCGGATGAAGATGAATCAGAAGGTGAGGAGACCAAAAATGAGGCTGAGGAGAAAGCTGAGAAAGCCAATGAAAAACCAAAGGGCCGCCCCAGTGCTGCTGCACTTGGCTTCTCAACAGTTGGAATGACACAAGAAGAAATTGAGAACGTCCAAAAAGGGAAGATCATGCCGAAGCGAAAAGCTAAGGCCAAGGCAAAGCAAACAAAAGCTGCTGCAGATGAGTCGGAGGACGAGGATGATGTCAGCATCAGCCCATTTGAGCAGCTGGTGCTCTCCGATGGATCTGAAAGCTCAAAGAAAAGCAGTGAAAGTGAGGGTGAAAAGCCAAAAGCCAGCCAGAGCAAGGCAGGGAGCAATTTCCGGATTCGATCTGAATTTCCAAAGACAAACATCAGACGGTGGATGTCTCCAGGTGCAAGGTTCGAAATACCGCCAAACCTTCCAAGTGCCAAAGCAGTCAGGAGAGCAAAGGCTAGATTAAAGCAAGTAAAGCTTGAGCGAGTTATGACCTTCAAGATGAAGAAACCCATGTCAAGTTTGGATGCTGTGAGAAGAGCTAAGACCATGATGGCACGCCGTACCACCCTTCCTATCGATCTGAAGGAGAAGACTGAGGAGGTGAAGGCTGGCAAGGGAGGGAAAGGTAGGAAGAGGAGCTCCGCGAATACGGAAAAGCCAAAGACTCCATCACCACCACCGCTGGCAAATGCTGTGGGACTTCCTGTCCCGAAGCACCGACGTCGAACAAAGAGCTTTCGATGCTAGACACAAGTTCATGAGTGAATTAGGCATGAAATCAGTGTTAACAAACATGAAGGTTCCTATGTGACCTGTAGGAGGCTTGACCTCAAACCAGGTTATCAAAAGGTCACAATTTGAAGAACCTATATCATAGTCTGGATACATGCCCAGCAACCCAGGAAGTCCCGTGGCTACGAGAGTTCCCGATGAGCCCACGGAGCCTTCCACCAAACCCAAGGAGGCGCCTCGATCAGCTTCTTCAGATACTGACCAGCCATGAAGTCTCCTAGAATGTTGGACGTGTAAGCCAAGTTCTTTTGTTACACATCGGACCCGAGTGCGATATATATTTTATCCAACACTGACCCCACAACCCCTGCCGTCCTGCTGGAAGGAAACCGCCGGGACATCTGGTACACATGTATCGACCGTCAACCACAAGGACTTTCCGTTTGCATCGTTCAGCGTAGCGATCAGCAGGATTCAAGAGATTGCACTATCAAAGGCCAACTGCAGAGTCCCATGCCCTGAAGACCAATTAGCACTATTGCGCTCTAAGCAGGGAAAACCAGAACGGTTGAAACTCAGCTTCGATTCAAGTGTACATTACGATCTATAGCTACTAGCTAGCTCAAACCTTTTATGACTAGTATTGCATGATATTGTGCATTCTTCTCTTCAACCACACCTAATGCTAGTGGTAGCTAAGGAAATACGAAAACGTTGAACGTGCTGATGTGAAGGATTGGACGATTGAGGTTCGCAAGCGGTTGAAAGGCAAACTTGCCGGGGGTGTATATAAAGTGTTCATTTCACCTACAGGGGTCAAACATTATTCCCTGTCATCGGCAATCAATGGTGGATTTGCTCCGGATCACACGATGGATGGTCGAAAGGGCCGTCGTAAGGGAAAGGCAGCAGCTGGAGGTGCCTAGATTGGATTATAGGACTTGCTTGGAACCTATCGATCTGCAGTCATTAACCATGGACCATGGCATGTGTGTTTTGATTTGGTGAGGCCTTCAGCAGGGTCTTTTCTGGGGCACAGCAACCCACTGCAAAGCTACTGTCAATTGTTTGAGACAAGATCTGGCGCTAAGCCTTCCAGGCAAAGCTCATTTGACTGTGCAGTGGGGGTTGCTTTTTCTGGTATGTGTGCAACTGACCAGGGTTGCACGAATCCTCAGGGTTGATCGACATGTTTACTGGGTGAAAAGCATCATGTATGGCGCACATCTTTTTGTGCATGCAGTGCTTTTTTGTGCAGCATGCATGGCATGCATTGCATTGCATGCGACCTGCAAACTAGGTTGCCTGAGAGTTGCCTGGGGCTCACATAAGTTGGCAAAGCCCAACAGGTCCCATGAAAGCGCGCAATCTTTTGGTGGTCTTGTTATTCCTGGCCCAGTTGCAGCTTCCTAAAGAACACAATGATTTTGTCCCCTGATTGCATTTGGTCAATCTTGTGAACCTCAGCGCTTTCACCTCCAACCATCCACCCGCACACAGTGTCCATCCCATAGAGTCCTGTGAGTCTTGAGGTGGAAGTCTGCTCTGGATGCGGCAACCTCAGCAAGGCGATGCGCATGTGCGATTGGAAAGGCAAATCATTTGATGTGGCTTGGCTGATGGGGGCTTTTGATCGAGAGTCGAACAACTTGGTCTGGGTTCATGGTTTGCACCAATTCAGTATATGGGTATTTAATGGCCAGTTCATCGCAATTGATAAGTTCATCGCAATTGATAATGATACCTGCTACCCCTTCGAATTTGTGTTTGATTGGCTAAGATCCTCTACAGCCGGAACCACGACTTCATGCGCACAGTTGGGTTCTTGGCTGTGCTTGCTGCAGCATCTCTTCCGCAATGGGGGAATCGTGGAGTCTACATTCTACATGTGTGCATGCATGCATGTTTCTGTTGGATCTAGTTTCCTAGGTATGGAACACCAAACCTGGTGGACTGCTCGTCTTCGCCCCTCCTTGCTCCACCTGGGTTTTCCTGAGTACCTCTGTTACAGGGCGCAGTTGGAGCCAACCTCAAGGCAATGGCTGCCGATGTGTGACTCTGGCCAACATCTTTGCCCATCGCATGATCTATGTGCTACTCAGCGGCCTAGGTATCGTAGGTCTGTTATTTTTGTGGATCAATGGTTGCTCCTTGCTCCGAGCTGTTTGTGGTTGTGCCAGGCTGTACTTTGCGGTCAAGCGTGGGGTGAGGATCCTAATCGAACAACCAGCAAGCTCAGCTACTTGGTTGGACTAGCTGCATGGTCTCATAGGCTGTTAATGTTAGCTGAC